GTGTTCACGTTTAGCTCGACTACGACGGGATTTGCATTGTCGACGGAGGCGATGATCACAGAATCCTACTTCCAGCACCGCATTTTCCTGCAAATATTTTAAAAATCTTTCAACAATAGGCTTTTTCTATTGTTCTATAATTCCCGATCTCGTTCTAAGGGTTGCTTTGGGAATTAGCGATGAGTAGCAGAGAGCCTCTGCCCGCCAAGCTACGCGTTTGTGTTCACGTTTAGCTCGACTACGACGGGATTCGCATTATCAACGGAGGTGATGGTCACAAAATCCTACTTCCAGACTCTCCGCTACGATTTAGCGGCATGATTGTGGAGTCGCCTGAAACCTTGGCGTTGTGCCTCTCCCTACTCATCTTTGGTGACTGGGACATCGTTTGCACCCACCATCGGCAGAGTCGGATCATAACGACGGCAGCAGCACCACATAAAAGATCCGCATGACGGCGCCGAAGTCGCCTCAAAAATTCGTCCTTATACACATATACGACATATACTAACCATTTAGCCTGAACTGGGAGCTAGCACGCCAACACGACTCTGGCAGACGTAGAAAACCGCGAAGGTTTTTGTGCGGATATAACGTGATCGTAGTTTTTTTTCTCAAAAGCGCAACCGGAGAGACGTCTGCGCATTACCATCGACGTCGATCCTTAAAACTGGTGACACAATAGTAGCACGACAGTGTATACGAGGGACGGTAGCACCAAAAAATCGGCGCCGTTTACCAAACAATGGCTGCGTGATAATAGGTGTGGTTCAAGGTGCAGGAAGAACTGTTTTGCAGTACGCGAATTATCTTTAGAAAGGACTGCATCTCTTTGTGAAAAGTTCAAATCTCTGTTGTGCTTCTTTTCTAAACTCTGCGTTGAATTGACTTGAAAATAAAGGTACATGGAAGAGTATCGTCAGCCCGGGAGTTTCTGTGAATATCGAGGAGCCACTACGTGCGTTCGTCTGTTGTGTAGTGCCAAGAGAGAGCGAAGCGCAACTACGCTGCCATTTTAGGTTTTGGAGCGGAACTCGTAGGCTTCTCTAGTTCCGTGGACTCTCACAGTGGGCTCGTGTGCGCGAGCGTGTAACCAGAACTGATCAAGAGCTGGAGAGAGAGTGCGAGTCCTCTTGAGCGTGATTGCAAGAGATAGGGAGAGTAGTTTATCCCCGTATCTCTTTCTCTAGCTCAATCTCTGCCCTCTCTCTCTCTCTCGCTCTCCTATTTCGTCAAGTGTAATACGTTCTTTCCTCGCCCCCTCGCTTTCGGTTCTCAATTCTCGGTTTAGTGCGCGCGCGCTTGTTTGTCCTGACTCCCAAGTGATCCCCGCGCATCCACGAAATTCACGATCGGGGTCGAGAGATTCCCAACAAATGTTTAAATGGACGCATCGTCCATTATCACCCAAGTGTCGCGGGATGACGAGCTAGGCCAGTTCAATAACGGGAAAGGGAAAGGTAAGTCTGTTGCTCGTGGCATTATTATGCCTGATGCCGAGCTAGAAGCTCCTACTAATTCTTCCAGATGCTGGACGGTATCTGCACCTGTTACGGGAGTGCAAAGCTTCTCTCTTGTTGCTCCACCTTGTTCTTATTAATATTGCCAAGTTTCGTGTATGGCTCTGTAATAGATTGTTTGTACTATTATACTATGTTTTGCATTTCGTTATATGTTTGTTACAACATTTTATAGCTCATAGTATTAATGTTATATTTATTTGTATGTTCGAAGGGATGATTTGTAGGCTGGTGGTAATAATGGTTTATTCGATCACACAGCACAGATACCTAGGGAGAATGAAGAAGCTGACAGTCCCACTGGTGGGAAGAAGCCACGAGGCAGAGGACTCCTTCGTTCCCTCCTCTGTTGCCTTGGTAGAGGACGGGGTGGTAGTTCAAAGAGTTCCAAAGCCAGTTCTCTTCAAGGCGATGGACGAGGCTCACCACCACCAGGTACTGGCTCACCACGATTCCTCCTACCACCAGTTCGCCATCAAGATATGCATAAAAAATGCATGGTGATTGATTTGGACGAGACTTTAGTGCATAGTTCATTCAAGCCAATCAATAACGCGGACTTTGTTGTCCCTGTGGAGATTGATGGGACGGTTCACCAGGTGTATGTCTTAAAGAGGCCTTATGTCGACGAGTTTCTACAAAGAATGGGCGAACTCTATGAATGCGTACTGTTTACTGCAAGCCTTGCGAAGGTAGGATTCATTAAAAGTCCTGATACAACTCTTACTTTGATTGTTAGTTAAGTAGCAACGAGTGATGGGGTCTATTGAATTTCAGTATGCAGATCCAGTAGCAGATCTATTGGATAGGTGGGGTGTGTTCAGAGCAAGATTATTCAGAGAATCGTGCGTTTTTCACAGAGGAAATTATGTAAAAGACTTGAACAAGCTTGGTCGGGACTTACAGCAAATTATCATAGTGGACAATAGTCCTGCCAGCTATATTTTCCATCCCGATAACGCGGTAAGTTTTACCTCACTTAAACATTATTAAACCTTTTTTCTTTTTGTTTGCAGCTTTATGCAAAATAGCAATATCATCCTGTGCCCCAATACTAACTTCACCCAAGTATCGTTACCATTACTTGTCACAATCTCTATACAAAGAGCAAATATTTAATTTTCCATGTTATCTCCCGTATCATTGATATAGCTGATTTCCTTCTCCAAAGTTCCAATCCTGAGCCTTTATTCCAATGGTGACGGTGGTAATGATAATTATGATGGTCATGGTCATACGATGTCATTACCGGAAGGACACATCGGCAAAGTAAGTAATTTCCTTCGAAATTATCCTCTCCAATTCCTCCTCTCACTTGCTGACCTCGAAACGCTTATTATATAACAATGCATCTCTTTCTGCAACCATTATAAGATTCATCATTTTAATAAATCGTAAAGGATATCGTTACAAAAAAGGTGTTGCAATTGGCACGATAATCAAAATAAATATATCACAAGAGTTAGTTTACAGCAAACCAACAAATATCAATCATATTTATATATATTTATCGGACCAATAAATTACCACAAGAAGTACATTCCTAATCTTGCAGGCATTTGTTTCATTGTCCAGGTGCCCGTGGCTTCGTGGTTCGATGATATGACAGATTCGGAATTGCTCGATCTAATTCCATTTTTCGAGAAGCTGAGCAACGTGGAGAACATTTACACGGTCCTGTGTAACAGCAATCATCCTTACAATCAAGTACCTGCAACGGTACAGAATAGTCCGAGCCCTGGTTCAGGACCACTCGGCGCTTCCTAGCCCCGCCGAAGTTCTGGCCTTTCGGCCAGTCCTGTCACCCCACGACGCACCTTAAGAAGAGCCCTAGCCGGGGCCCTCTACGTCGCTCACCTATTGTGCTACGGACAGCCCGGTATGCCCAGCTAAGGTATCAAATTGCACGGGCCAGTACGTACCGATAAGCTTATTATCAGGGAAAGAGATACTCTTGGTCTCGTTTGCGTACTGAACGTGTAACGTCCAGATGGCCCATCCTCTTTTGGATTGCCTGGCGTTGCTCATCGGACGACCAGAGTGACGTACCAGACGGTAGAGTTACAATGAAAAAATATATATATAACAAGAAAGCGCAAGGTAATCCTTTAACGAAGCGAAAGGGAAACTGCGACTCGACGAATCGACCAGAAGTATACTCGGAAACATTCGGTCGAACTCGGTGATGTGTGCGCCCATTACGAATTCTATTCGGTACGACGACGAGCCGATTACATCGTTCTGAGGCCGCAACGCTTCCCGTTTCTAGCAACGAAGCCGCACAAGCGGCGATGCTCGGTAAAGTAATGTCAAGGAATGCTAAAGTATCGTGGAATTGGATTTAATACCTCCGACGTGTCGATATTCTCGCACGCTGACGCGGAGTACCTCTGTCATTTATATACGTAACGGCGAACTCTTTTATTTGGAATTGCGATGCGCTTTCACAAATTTACGGAGAATCATTCAATAATCGGATTGCTTGTTCTTGTTGTTGATTTCCGATTGAAAAGACTGCCCGCTCCGAAACGTTATCAGTGCAGATGGTGCCAAGAGAAAAAGAAAAAGGATTAGCCTCTTTTTTTTTTTAATTCACTCGTTCTTTTATTCTTCTTCAACATGATAATATTCTTCAACGGCCGCTTGAAATTTTAATGACGCCCATTAGAATGCTTGTTGATTTTAATACAAATATCCCCCCGCCCCCCTAATTCCAATTCCAGTTAATAATCAGACCAGAGCTATGCTCCTTCGTTTTTCAATTAATGTTTTATCATTGTCAGGGACCACGTGTAATTATTTTAGACTCGGCACGTCACACTTCGACGAAATATAATTTACAAAGAAAAAAAAACTCGCACCGTTTCAAGTACGACGGTTCTATCGTTACAGGGCTTTTCATTTTTTAAGAGCCTGCTAAAACGATTGTATACTTTTAATACGACGTGGCATAGGACAAAAAAGTGCTTAACTTTCGTACCCACATATCCAATTCGCCTGCGAAAAATGTAGCCAAGACTTCCGGTCTCGAGGGAATCGAAAACCAAACTTAGCAGAGAAATAATAAAAGGACTGAGACGAGATTTCGAAATAATTAGTCGACCATCAGGCGTCCGCAGTGAGTCTTCCTACCGGATAGACCCTTTTACTCATCCCCGGAAACCGAGATAGTTGATATCCGGAACTTGCGGCATTCACAAGTACGACGTCACTTTTTTCGAGGATAGTCTCAATGTTCGAAAAAAAAAACGATCAAACGAAGAATCTATGTATATGTTATCCTAATTACTTGGAAGTCTCGTCTTGAGCTTTAAGAATGTTTGCATAATTTTGTAAAAATATCCAAAAGAAAATTCTTTCTCGCGAACGAGATTCGCATGGACACAGAGGACAGTACTACGTAGGGATAGAAATGAGAAGTGAAGTCATTGGACCAACGTCTTTTATTTCAAACCACGGCATACACAAAAGTCCGAGCCAAATGCATATCATTCTTTCCCTCCAGGCAACCGTACGGATATTAAGGTCCTAATATTAAAAAGCGATAACAATAACGTTAATGAATTATAATTATTTAGAAGTAGTCCCTTAACCGCTAGGCGAATGATACACGCATTACACTTACCTTTATATTTTTACTAACGACTAATTATTATTTTAGCGACCATTATCCAAGGCATAATGCAGTGTACAGATTATATTGTATCGTCGCGATCGACTATATTATTACTACTATTTACTATCTATTTACCTACGACCTTCGTTGACATATTGATACCACACCACCGTTCTCTGGTTTTACTGCATCTTGCCGCTATGACGCTATCGAATTTCAAATTACGATATGAGTATCGTGCCGTAATCTCACGCTCCTTCCTCCGTATTTGTTTTTTTGTATATTTCCCGTGGGAGAACCTTCCCATTGCCAATAGTTCCTTGCCAAACGTAATATATGATGAATCAATGAAAAACTATCAATTACCTTTAGCAAAGATCATTAGTAATGGGAAATTTTGCTACGGATTTTCAGTCGTTACGTTATCCTCCCTCTCTCAGCCCACATCTTTTTCCAGATTTCATTACACACTATCATCTCCCTGATAGAGCGTATCGTTGCCACGACTTCTGCCAGTCGGGAATAAGACTTTTGAATTTGATTGACAGGCAAGGATAAACGCGAGCGAAATATTCTCAGAGGTCTCTGGATTCATTCGTGACACCGTACATCTAGATAGTTTAATTAATCAAGTAAATACGAGGATACTCTTTTATGAACATGTAAAAAGGAATCTCCTCCGTATCCTTGATTCACCTCGTAACTCTGTGGAACGATAGACATTTGGATTTCGAACAAATCTCATTCTATCGGTATGTTCGTTGTCGAGGACTGTCTCTGCGCTAATGTATACGGTATTTAAGGCTTTGGCAAACTCATCCGAACAAAGGAAAGTTACGTTTCCTAACGCAATCCGCATGAACTCGATACAAGGAAGTCATTATACTGTCGCTCGTCACTGACTGAATTCGTAACTCGCGTCGTCGAATTCGAATTCAAATCACGACTCGGGAGTACGAACAGACCCGCTTCTCCTTCCCTCGTGAAAATCATTTACACCTTGTACGAAGGAGCGAGCAGCGGTACGCCATATTACATTTTCAAACACGGACTGGACTGAGAATTACTGCATCATACGTTCGGCGTGGTTATATCGCATAAGAATCAGAGCAGTACTTTAGCATAAGGAAAAGATGAAATATAGGGAGTGAAATATGAAGGAAAAGAAACAAGGACGAATATTTGTATCGATAAAACTTTTCTACCGTGCGGTAGAAGAAAAAAAAATAATAATCAATGTATCTGTCGCGCCTGTAAGATATCCTCCGTACTTATAGCTTTCATTGCTCTCGTGGAAAATTCATGATGCTGCTACGCCGCGTCGCGACGTTGTGGCCGGCCCGATCGACGCGGATATTTTTGTCGACTTTACAGCGACTAAATGCGATTGGCCAACGCTCTACGACGACGAGGTTCGTGTATCGTCTCTAAAATTACACGATGAAAGTTGCACACGGCCACTTTCCCCGCTCGCAGCTTTTCGTAGTTTCGCCAACGGCGACAACGCCTATTGGCTGCTTCTCCTATTGGTTTTGATTTATAGGAGAACTCGCGCTGGCGTTGATCGAGTTTTCCACGAAGGTACTCGTCTCTCTGTCTCTTCAGTCGCTTTCTATGAAAACGTCAAGTAGCTGATAACTTTCGCGTGATTGTAACGATATGCTCCCTTTGGGTAATCCTCGTGACATCACTGAGCATTTGCTGACGTCAATACATGGTATTTAAGTCTAATCGATTAGGCATATGACCATAGCTTTCTTAATCATTAAATGATTGCTTAGTTGGTCGTTGAAGTTCGATATTCATATGTTAATAATAACGAATTACAATTTATGCTCGACGTTGAAATGCTCGCTGACGCTCTTGTTAATCACGACCCTTACCGATTGGGAACTACTCGCGAGAGTGCACGCATTTAATATATTAAATATAAATAAGCTGGCAAGAAAACGAGAGGGACGGAGAGAGAAAACGAACAATCGAGTTTCAATCTTCTCGAAGAGTTCAAGGCAATTGATGGTGCTTCCGTAGTGAGGCTCTTTCATGACTCTACAGAGTTCGATGCATTTGAGACGTTCCTTTTTTTTATTTTTTATTACGAGGTGTAATCCAGTTCTCTTATGGTACACTCTTATTTAACAATTGGCAGATATATCTTGATACAACATGGGTACAAGTATAATTCTGTAGAGTCCTGAATTCTAGTCTCGTGATGCCTTTGCTCAAAATCGTAACGCATCTCGTTGCTGCGTAGCTACGTGTTCAGATGGTGTGATAAGGCGCAATAGTTATTCGCAAGTACAAAAAGCTATTGTTTTTTATGTCGATTCGTCAAGAGAAAGAGAGACATGCCAAATTATTATTGGGCGCGATGATTTTTATTTGAATCACAGCTCGAGCGAGGCGGTATGGCCGTTCGCTGAACAGCGGTGCAATGCAGGTCGAAAATAAAACCTTTTTATATATGCAGCCATTTTCCTAAGAGAAGAAAAATATCGGTAATGCTATTGTAGGAAAACGTGAAATCGCGTGGAATGGACTCGTGAATAGAATGAATGTAGGAGAGACAGTCGAAGCGTATCAATGAGATGAATAGATGAATGAATGAATTAATGAATGATAGTGCAATGCGTGCGTGATTGCATGTGTCTGCTGAGAGCATGAGTAGAAAGATGAAAAGAAGGAAGCAAGGAGAAAAGAGTTATATATTGTACAAAAATTTTGTCACAAGAAGTTTTTAATGGAATTAGAGTGTTGGACACACACGTATGCGTATAGAGAATAATTAACGATAATGCCTTGATTTGTAAATAAAACAATGAAACTTCCACTAATAATCCTTTTCCGCTAAATGCAATGCGCCTGCGCGCTGAGACTCGATTTACGAAGCCTCGTCCACCTTTTGGTACCGTTTTTTTCTTTTCTTTTACATGGAGAAACGGCTACTTGTATGTCGCCTCTATTAAATTGGGGTGACCATTTTGTACGATGACTATCGTGGTTCGTTTCGAAATTTGAGACACCTTTTAAAAACAATGTAACGTTTCCTGATCCCACCCGACCCAAACCTCTATCCCTTCGATATGTCCAGTTTGCTCTGTGATTCTGTGTTTAATAAAAAAATATATATATATTTGATAATCTTGAAGTTGTAGAGAAGTTTTTGCACGGATTTTCACTTTACCGCTATTACCATTTGTTCCTTTCCCGTGGTAGCATCTTAAAAATTTATAGAATATTATTTGTCTGCTATTTAAAAAAAAATACTTGTTCAATCTACAGTAAAGTGTAGTTTTTTTTTTACAAAAGATTTGATTTATTACAAAACAAGATACAAGTATTGTGATAAATAGGTTGGTATTACGGATGAAATTTGGTTACAACCGTAATTGAAAAGTCAATAGAATATCACGATATTTAAATATCACTTTCTTGATTTTCGGAGGGAAAAACCTTCCCCGGTAAAAGCTTTAAATTCGTCAGGGTCCTTGATCTGGAAGAGAAATTCAATAATAATTGCATGTCCATTTTTAAGTATTGTAAGCAAAGAAAGCCATACCTCTTTGTTATTAACTGGTTTAACATTTCTAAGGAACTTCAATGTCCCTATCTTGTAATCGTAATCAGGTATACCCCTCACGTAAACGGGTTTCGAGGATGAAGATTCCGATTGTGCAGAATCCTTGCGTTTCTTTCCGTCTAATCTGTTACCCCGACCTTTGAAGGCTACAAAACCAGCTGGTGCAGGCATTAAATCCACAGGATCCACAACATTCTCTTCCTTTTTAAATTCTCTTTCAGGCTCCTTATATCCGACCGGAGGTGCAAACTCCACGTTCATATCGCATTCAATAATACTAACAGCTGGACCTGGTCTGGTTTCGAGAACGCACATCTCGTATATTCGTTGATTGTACCTTATAGCTATAATGTCTCCTCTGGTAAGACAGGCGAAACTTCGTAAACCATTTTCTAAGACAGCCTTAGGATTAGTGATATCCAAAAAATCCTCTGATTGAGGTTGGAAGCGTGAGAAGGTGGCAACTGGCAGAGATGCACTTTCAATGTTCAACAATTCACCTTCCTCCAGCAAAAGATTGTGCATCATCTACAGGAATATTAAAAATACGCTATTCTATTTTTGAAATACATTTTCATAAATTTCACCTACCCAGTATGGAAGGTAAACTCTTCCTTCATCAGCAACAAATTCCAGGACACCACAGTGAGTTATTCTGTTTGTTTTTCGATTTGTCAACTTGAACAGCATTGGATATACTATATTCAGTCTTGTAAGCTGCTCCAGAGCCGACGGAGGCATTATAACTGTTAATAGAAACAGATAAATGAACAGTTAGGGATAAAAGAAAAATCATGTCTAAATCTACAGTGTAAGAATATACAATATGTTGACATACTCTTTCCACCGCGTTCCACGTCTTGTCTCTCGTTGCCAGGTAGCATAGATACGGAAAAACATTTGTACTGAGTATTGAAGGGCCGCGGAATCTCCGGGAACATGTTAAAGCCAAACTAAAAGTGGAAAGTCATTGCCTCTGTTAACCTAACCTCACGATGTCAGACATCGTCGATTACTCAAGACAGAGAATTATTTGGCCTATGATTTAAATGTTGTTAATAGACTCACCATTTTTGCTTGTTAATTCTTCTCGTCCGTTTGTCAAGGAACCTACTGGATCTTTGAATACCTTAAAATAGTAGAAAGTCAAGGCGCTAGTAACTCAGAGTATAAATTCAATCTTGACGCTTAGGTTGCCTGTTCGTGACAAGGCCTGAACTTCAGACATGCGCCTAGTTCTCAATGCTGCTGTGATCCAATATTTAATTCACTGATAATGTCGGCATAGTATCAAAGTGAAGATTACGCATATGATTTAACAAGTGTAAATTTGTATGTTTTGATCAGTCAAATAAGTCAACATTATTAGTAGAAAACACGTAACACTTATTCCAAAAGAAAATATCTTTTTTTAATATAAGCTATTTGAGTAGGTTAACATTATTGCAATTCTAAAATCATATATGAATGATAGACATATGGTGACAGTTATTGAAATTGGAAACGATTATAGACAGATCAATTTAGTTTTATTCATCGAGATATTAATTTAAATATCATAGTGTGAAAATAATAAAATTAGTATGTAAAATGGTGCCATCTAGCGCATAGTTATGGAAATAAACTTTTTTCTGTCAATCCCTGTTGATCCTGTGCACCGTGAAATTCTCGCGTCGTCTTTCGTATCAACAATTCTACATCTTTTTATTATCCAAAGGCAAATGGAAAATGTCACTAGTAGAGCTCATTTAAGGTAAGACTTTTTACAAAATAATAGAATAATTTTAAAGTATCTTAATATGCGAACGTGGAATAATAATGAATCTTGCAAAATTGAGGTTTCATGAATTTCGTTTTCGACAGCACCATCAATTAATTTCCAAATGTCTTTGAGTCACGTGAGCCATTTGTTTTTGGGGATGCTGGGCTATTCAGGCTATTCTACATGGCTTTTAAATGTCACGATGTCCCGAAAGATGGCACCAGTTTTATATTTCACATTTTGTCGGGAATAATTTCATATTTATATTTATTGTCCGTTATTAATTTCTAGTCTTTCAAGCAATAACTTCGAAAATAATGTTTAAAAAAATATATGATACAATAGGAATGATATTTCAAAATTCCCAACCTTTTTGAGACACGAAGAAAGTACATTCAACAGATAATTCCAGTATCATACCCTTCTACGGAAAGTATGACGTTATCATCCTTACCGGCAATGTTTAGTTCACCCTTTGTCAGTCTGCTTTATTATTTCTATTTCTCATTCTCCCAAAGATCAGCCATAAATTATTAGCTAAACGTACAAGTGTAAAGCATATTTAATAAAGGTCGATATTACCCGTTATTAACATCGTTCGAATACCAGTATGGCTAAAATATCTTCAACTGACCGTGTGGCCTAATGGATAAGGCGTCGGACTTCGGATCCGAAGATTGCAGGTTCGAGTCCTGTCACGGTCGAACGACTAAATTTTTTTATCACATATCCATTGGGTTATCTCCATTATTCTAGAGCTAATCTACACCAAACTTCAATCAAAAAACATAGGTCTGCACAATTAAAAGATTATAAAATTGCTAATACATGTATACATAAAAAGATAAAAAATAAATATTCTGTCAAAAACATACATGCATACTATAATATGTACACATATCTCTTCTAGTTCCCCTTGAAGTATTTTATTATCTTCCCTGTATTCCACTTAAAGAATATCGTCCATTATTATTCAAACAGGAAGTTCGAGCGCTCTTAGAGACTATACGTTATTCTATCGAACAGGAAAAGAAAGAAGAAACGAGAAAGAGAGAAAGCATTAAAGAAAAGAGTTTGATGTTGTTTTTTAGTGAAACACGACCCACATACACATACGTGATACCGAATGTCTATATATTTGGCCTCGCGCGAACCGTCTATACGTTCCTTTAGCTAGCTAGAGGAACTTATTGATTCTTCATCAGAGAGCTCAATGTCAGCAGCCCTTTAAATGTTGCCAAAGAGAAATTCTCAGTCTCACTTGAACCACTTAAAATAAATTCCCAACTGTACTCCAAAGGGATTTTATAAAAACTATTTGTTTTTCAATAGTATACCTCATTCTCAGAGGATCTGTACAGATTTTACGATATACTCCATCCCCAAGGAATACAGATTATACAGTGGCTCCAGTCGGTAGTTGTTGGAGCAAATCCAATTTCTTAACGTTTGGCACGCACCACGATCGTACTATACAACGACTAACGATAAGTATGCCAGGAATTTTGAATACTCTAGTTTTCAGCGACCAATCCAAAGTGACTATTTGTTCAATTTTCATTTTTCAGTTCCGATATTTTCGCATATATATACATACGTACCAGCAACGGATACTACAGAAACGAGTACGTACGTGAAAACATATATTTTCCTATAATGTTCAAGGACCCGTAGCTTACACAATCTGGATTGAATTCAGACATAATAGTGTATCGGGCCGAATACGAATTCCTTAAAATAAAGAAAAAACAAAAGAAATTCGATAACTGTATCGCCAGCTCCATATAAAACAGTATAGGTATACAACACTATTATCATATTACATAGCTACTATATCCGTCCATCTATAACCTTCAAATACTGTCAGGTGCGTGTATTCCCTTGTGTTCGTGCACGCGTGACATGCCCTCTTGTAATTTACCGGTAATGGTCTACGATTTCAACCCCTACCGATTATCAGGGTCTCCCTACTAGTTAAATAATTTATCACGCAATGGGGTTGAATTTATTCACCTACCCGTCACTCTTAACCATAGCACGCAAATGTCCACGAGAACTCTGCAACGTTCCAGGAAAACTTTAATAATACATAGGGCTTTTATACAGAGATACAATTCGCATTGTATGTACACCGGATATTCTGATGACTATAAAATATATTAAAAATAATAATTTTTGATATGATAATAAAAATGTAAAAAAAAAAAGTATCCTTCGAGCCGGATTTGAACCAGCGACCTATGGATGTCTTTCACATTCAGTAATACCAACTACAGTCCACCGCTCTACCAACTGAGCTATCGAAGGCTGAGAGAAGAGGATTGCTTACTTGCAATTAGCCACCGTTGCTAAAAGCTTATATAGGATCATTATATATAAAGAATGTACCTACACAGTGTATACTCTGGTTATCTAATTAAAGAAACCATACAAAGAGAAATAGACTTCCGTGGTATCAAAAGTAGTTGATAAAGTTCACCAGTAAGAATCCACACTGTCAAACGATATGACATAGTTAAGATATTGGATTAAAAGGAATTACCAGTATATATCTATATGCTAATATTATACTAATCCATAAATTCGTTTAAACTACACATATGCGCTGAGAACCTCTGCGAAATAGAATGCCAGGTTAGGACATTTCCTGCGGTTATGGGAGAGAGCCGCAGTCATCAGCCACCCCATCATACCTGGAAATTTCACCCCATCGCATCGTTCCCCTTGTTGTACAGTACCTGCAAAATAATATCAAACCAAGCAAAAAGAAAGAAGCTCAATGAATAATAAGAACATAATAAAAAATAAATTTTTGTAAAGACTACCTGCACGTCCTCGCACCCAATTCAAGTTCGATACGTTAAGATTAAAATACACAGAGGAATCTTCATCCACAGATCTTCCAGCAAAGCGTACTTGGATCTAAAATAATGAACGGATCTGAGACCGAGGATTCCCCGACTCTGCACCGTCGTAACAACCTGAACTAATTCATTTTAACTATCAGTGGCTTCAGTGGGCGTCCATAAACAAGAGACACAATGAAGCATAACTTTCGACGAGCAGCCATGTCAATAAAGCTTCCATTACAAGCGCTTTACCTACAACCAACAAAAGCAGCAATACAGGATCCAATACGCCCACAGCTAATAACCAGCATCAACCAACCAGCTGCATGAAGGGAAGCTGTCTCTTAGACAACGGGATTGCCGTATCTCTAAAAAGTAAATTGTATCCTATTAGATGTTTAACAAACATAACCTATACATATACCAGCCGAGTATATACAAGAAACCCTGAGACTACACGCGGGGCTTGGCATTTGATAAAGCGCGTGACGTCACGTCTCCTGACATTATCATGACCCAAAGGTTATGTATCATCCTTCTCTTTTTACCGGTGACTCGCGTAAATTCTATCGGAACAACGCCCAGGACTACTGGGAAATTAGGCTGACTCCCTTTCTCTTTCTCTCCCTTATTCACGACCTTCGCTTCTTCCCTTCAGACCTTGAACGAACTTCGATCTCACCGAAGCAAATCAGCGAACACACCCTGAAGGCGAATGAAAATTTTCGTTTTGATCTTGCGTGATATCTGCTCTATTCTCGCAAACCAATCCATTACCTGCTAAGAGGATATACGTAGGATAAGTAATAGCGATAGTAACTTTTCAAGCTGACAAGGTGGCTTTTTCTGTTTTCACGGCTTATAATGTATCAGAACAAATGTTTCGTGCTTGATTGCTTCTAGAAAACGTTTAACAATTTCTCTCTTACTTTCTGCTACTTCGGTCGCTCATCTATCGCCATGCGTGAGAAGGGTAGATCTGTAACGGGTGATCGCCACATAATGACTGTGTAAAATTCAGGAACTTGACCCTCTTTAATAATACATATTACGTCAAGACAGAGCGCTCTCTTTTTTTAGTTTTTTTTTTTCACCCTTTATTTTTATCTCTATGTTATATTTTTTTCGTTTCCTCTCTTTTTCACACACCTTCTACAACGCATTACAATATTCGACCTCACACTGAAATTAATACGATAGGCTGAAAGCCTTCGTCATTTTTCACAGTATACACTCTGTGTATACACGTGTCACCCTTGCGTGCTTTAGGGATGAATTTTGCAGAAACGGCACAAGACGAGCCGATGAAATATCCACGGAACAGGACACGTAGTCATTCGTCTTTGCCAATGAAAAAGAGAAGCCACGATGAAGCTACTCTTTCACTTTTAGGGATATGCCTTCCCCCTTTTCACTTGAGTTGTCATGGCGATGACATTAAAGCGGGGTCATTTTCAGTTCCCTTACTGAAATACACGTGTTTGATATTCATCTTCCTTTGATTTTCGTAGACAACCGAACACAATTGATTTTGACTTGCTTACTTCAAAACAAAATTTCACTTCGCCACAAATACGAATTAATGATGCTCATCAATCTCTGGCTTCCGAGAAAACACGAGGCATCTCGGGAGAATTCAACCGTTCCTGCATAATTGGATGTCTGACGTTTATTTTCGGGTCTTTGTATTTTATTTTTTTTTTCATCCCCTGTCTAGTATCATTTTTTACGTGTACGCGTGTGCCAAAAATAATTGGCAAATATTACCTATAATATAAGTATTTGGACTCGCCAGGATTTGTTGGCTCATAAATAAACTCCCCTATTCAGAGACTGATTCCTCGAGAGTACGAAGAAAAACAATTCTAAAATCAGCCTGTACGTAGTCGTAACGTGTTCACAGTACTGGGAAATTCTGCGGTCCAAACTAAACATAATTTCCAGATGATATTTTTACTCCGCAAATCTTATTTCGGTTTACAACCTCTCTTTTACGGTTATGCTAGTCCCAGTTTACTAATATCCACATTTTATCTCTTTTCGTAGTTACGTAACGCGTGCTTCATGAATTTCATGGATTTCGTTCATCCACTCGACAACGCGATTTCACGAATCATTTTTATGCATGAAAACTGCCATTTAACACGTCCCACTTCGTTCTACAAGAACGTATTATACTTCGTGTCACATACTTCGGGCGTATGCACAGTATGCAATCCGCAAATAGAAAATTAATTTGGCTGTATACCAGAGTAGCAAACCCGAGAAGCTACGAAACTCATAACCGCTTACGTATCCGCAAGTCAGTTTACTATTTTTCTTTCCCAAGAAAGGTTTGCTCCGCGATTTAACATAATCAGAAGAGTAAAGATAGCATAATCTGTTTTACCGGTTAAGCAGTCATATCAGTGAACAAAATTTGTCAACTAATACAAATTCAACTCTTCCCTGCTGTGACATGGTCCGTTCTATTCCCATTAAAAAAAAAATCAAAAAAAAATTCTCGAAGGTACGAATAATATTGAGACACCGTGAAAACCGCCTCAAGAGTTGATTCTGCAAATTTCATTAATTACATTAATTTTTAAAAAATAATCTGTTGCGCTTAATCACCGAAACGAATTCTTGTCAAGTATAACCAAATCAGCGTAACCTATCGACATATACTATCTAATCAAGAAAAGACAATATATCAGTTATTTTAATATTACCGTTAATACTTCCCAGAAGAAACTTACTGATTGGCAGGATATTGCGCACAGTATTCATTAGTCTTATTGTAATTTGAATCCCACTGTCAGTTCTATTACTTGAGTTCACCGCACCGTGACATTATGCAAGTCGGGATGCACTAGCATATGCATACGACACGTGATACTCATTCTCCTACATGTCCCATATTACTATATATAATTAAAAATATATATGTGCACACACAAGCCCACCACGATGTGTGTATACATATTATATATACACACATCGTATATGCATATATATCGATACAAATTTTCATGGCAGACAGACGTCTAACAATATTGAAACTTTATTCAGAGATACCCGATATTGGATTATATATACCAGATTCAGACAAGTAAGTCAACTTAGGAAGAGAATTCATGTCTCTTGGCAGGACGCCACGGTTTAGAAAATTTGCCAATGCATAGAGAAGGTCTCAGGATTTCGGTGAAAACGGACGATTAGCAATTTCTTCGCTATTAGAGTTTCAGCTAAGTAGGAAGTCATGGATTTTTTCGATCGTCACTCAAAACTAATATGAAACAGTTAAATCTTATTACTAAAGGGTCACCGGGCATAATATTCGTAAACGGAATATGAAGATAAGACTATAGGTTAACGATAAGTTTGACATAACGTAACGTTAACCTATAGTCTTATCTTCGTCCTACAGGACCCTGTTATCCGTATATATGTATACAACCAGGAAATGTTTCTTATCATGAAATAGCTATACTATCCTCGTTACTATTACATCCCGATAACAAACGGGTTGATGCATTTTCTATTTCGAAAGCTGTTACTAACTTTGGATACCCCATGCAAAAATACCATCGACATTCCATATATAAATAAAACTACTATAAGCTGGTGTATTATTAATTTTCCTGTGCCAACAATTTTCTCGTGTAATCATTTTCCAATATTAACCCGTGCAAGGAGCCGTGTCGATAATGAGAAAAAAAAGTCTTGTACCTGAAATTACGATTTGTAGTGGGAATGTCAAAAATGGCGGTAATGAAAAAATCATCTGCCTTATCTCATTTTCGAGAAAATGTTTTTTCAAGGGAGGAAAATTGTACGTATATAGGTTTCCTAAGAAATGGCTAGAAGCACGGTGACATAATCTATGTATAGAAAGCATCGTGCGCCGATGGCCCCGCGCTTCCATAGCGTTGTCGGCCTCGTGACGCAGACGCATCAGAAAAGACGCCCTCGTCAAGCTTGCAGTCTGGCGTCGCTGGTCGACGTATACGGAACGCGAGAATAATCGGGAACTTCTGACGTCGTTGTACGCCGGCGTCCTGCCGTCTCGTATATTAATTCTTCCACGTCGCGGGAACCAGCCACAATTCCGTAACCTAACCGTAATGTCGGTTTTCTTCAAGGACGTAATTTAAATCGTGAAACGCGAACCATACCATTGACATTTGCGTATTCCTCGTGTGCGCCGTTGAGGATCGATTTTCAAATACGGGAAAAGAACTAGTAGCCTTCGAGCGACTCCGCAACCGTGGCCGCCGGTCAGATCGATTTTAAAGCCAGACCCAGCGATAAAATTGTCGGATGGACTAGAACCAAATGAAATGCTAGGAAGTAGATAGAAAATATGAAAGAAGAGCTTAGGAACTAAAAATAATTTCGAAAAGGGACAGGGTCCTGATCAGTGCTCGTTGCATCGTACAAGACGTCGCTGGTCGACGGTGGTGACCGGAAGTTCTTATCTTTAAACAGTTTTCACCGGTTGGGATTGGAAATTTAATCTTACTTTACGTTATTTCACGTGCTACTTCGCTCTGCTTTGTCCAAAGGTATTTCTACGTGTAGCCAGATCGATTTTATGCTCTGATTTTTTTTAATTTCCTGTGTCCATTCACCGTAAGTGAATATATTCGGTGATCATACTTTTTTATATTGTATCAATGTACTGTGTATACAGCTAATTCTTGACATCACCAAGAATCTTGAAAGGACGTGTCTACTCGAGAATCGATTGCTGTAATAAATTATAAGGACTATAACCTGAATTCGATTAAAAAGTACTGACGGATTTTTATGTCCCGTAATAAATATACTCTCACCCCTATGAACTGCAGCGCTATCTGTCATTTTAGTTTGCCTCGAGCGAGCGGATCTTTATTTTGACATTCTTTTTTTTTTTAGTAACAAAGCAAAAATTTGTATTCCCAGTGGCTACGGACAGGAAATTACTTCCGTATGTGTATACTCGTAATGTTCATGTATTCATATTACTTTCTGCGCATCGTCCCTTAAATACTCTCGGTACGTTCCAACTCTGGTGTTTCAACTGTTACGTAAGTGAAAAAGTGAAGACGAATGAATAAGGGTTGAATGAAAAATGTGTCAGGGGATGGTTCAATCCTGCGAAGGTCAGCCAGAGATTCCTGGATTAGTTATATCCTTTGGCAGTATTGGCAGGGGTAGTCCGCCAGTAGTAATGGCAGCTCTCGGTAGAGGCCCAGTTTTAGCAGACAGTGTGGCGTCTAGGGAAGGGGTTGAAAGCTATGTGGATACCGACGGGCGTGGACTAAAGCTTCGAATCTCCATAAGCAACTTCTGCCCTGCAGACTAGGAATCAATCAAAACGCACCGAAATCTGACAAACCGGCGTATCCCAGTTTAGCCAGGCGCTTAATACCGGTTTCCCTTAAACATCATTCGAAGGGGATCATTGATTTCGCAATATCAAATAAAGCCTTGAAAATCGCGCGGTAGCTGCGGGAAGCTATTTATAGTAGTAGCTCGAATAGTTTTATATATACAATCATCGAAGAGGACTCCCTATGATGATAGTAAAATTAATAATTTTAATAAAATAAAATAAATTCTCAGATCTCTTACTTATCCGGTATATCGATAAGAGGATGATGAATACGATAAAGTATGGCCGCGATTCGCTAGCGGAGGAATCGCAAAGCACGTGGAACACAAAGAACTGACGACACTGGTTGTACGTTATGGCAAATGGGAAAGAGACTTGCTGAGCTGGACAAAAGTTTGGCAGCCAGGAGGTAGAACGGCGAGGCGAAGAGTGAGACGGGGAGTGGAAGGGGTCTGGCACCCTTCGGTCGATACTCGCGGCACAGCATTGCCAACAGGCCTACTCCTCGACCGGAGCACCCCTGGCCACCTCACCGGGCATACAGTCGAAAACCCAACGTTTATTTTCGGGAAGTTGGATTTTCGAAATTTACCCTAAAATAATTAACCCTTAAATTTATTGTACGGTTGGTCATGGTGTTCAATTTTACGCGACATACGAAGTGTCACGCTGCTCGAGAGTGCTTGACATTAGGTATCACGCTCCCCACTGTAAGGACAGTGAGTGAAGAAAATGACAGAGGGTGAAAATAGGGGTGAAGTATGATAGACGGGATCGATCGAAAGATAAATTCGTGCCGGAGAATTAAGCAGTTACCTTGTACGGCCTGATTCATTCGACAGGAAGTTTCCTTCGTGACTCTTCGTACTCGCAAAAAGAAAAACAAAGGGGATGACAAGGCTAAGGGTTCTTCGGTCTTATTCCCGCTCACGTAGAACGGCGTCTACTTGCCTCTTATGAAACCCTTGCAATTTATTTTTTATTCGCTAAGTGATTACAGAGTAGACGTGTCCTTTCGAGGATTAATTATAGACATGTAGAAGGCGACGCCAAGCGTCCAGTTCGACGCTCTTTGTCCACCACCAAGTACCATTAGTTCCCTTGGCGTTCTGCGTAATTGAAAAAAGAAAAAACAGAAGGATCGTGTACCTGCCTAGAAACCAGAGAAAATACTCACTACAAATGAATTTAGGTATATCAAGCTTTATCTGCTCTTCTATCTCATTCTCTTAAGTAATTAAACGCACCATCTGATCCAATACCGTATGTCACGTGTTTGCCAGCAGCAAATAAAATTACAGCAAACCGTTACGCTCGCGTACAATTTCGGCAATCGTTAAATTTTTCACTCAGGACACTCCTTTCGGATTGTATTTTAAATAGCAAGTACAGCAGTGGTAAGTGAAGATAGCCAATGATGACGGCCAAACGCAACAAGGGACATAAACGTTCAAAGTGCATTCGTTGCAGTGTCGTTGGTAACATTACATGTGATGTGATGTATTTAAGTGAGTTATGATTAATTAGTATCCACAGCGAGAGGCCACCGCTAATTAGAGGCGCTTCGCACCACTTCGTACTCAAAGCCTAACCGAGGAGTAAGTTTTCTTTACATGCTACCTATATACTACACGGCAGCATCCGCATCTACATAAGCCTCCTCTATATACTTACCGACTAACGTAATCAACACTTAAGACTAGTTACGTTACATTTATTATATGAACTGCTTGATATCCATAGAGTCAGGCCTTGACATTCCCTCTTTCCCTGCTATTATACTCTTTAGAGCGACAAATGTTCGCCCGTAGTAAATGGCGCGTTATCGATTAGTTTCAAGTCATTTTGTACCAGGCAACCCAGCCTTAGCTTTCCAATCATTGAAATATCTTTCTCAACATTAGGTTCGTTTGCATAGAAACGCGTTTGGTAAAATTCTTTGGTTTGGACTTCTCGATGGATCGATGTAGCTTGATTTTTTTTTTAATAATTGTGCAACGGTAGAAATGACAAGGAAAGGTGGGACGATTATGATTTTTTTCTAATGTTAAAGAAAATTGTAAATTTTATTTGTGTCAAAGAAATAATCTTTACCGCGAAGACTCGTGAGAATTGCGCATTGCGCTAGTACCTAGTGCAATCCAAGACTTGGGAGAGACTGAACACATTTCTGGTTTTAGTTCTCTTTCGCGTTACAGGAGAACACGATTTTGTTACCTCGATCGTTACAACTTTAGTTAATCTTTGAATCGTCGTGTTTTTTTTTTCCAGTTTTTCCAATTTTTGATTTATTTAAGTCATATATAGTTTATTTGAATAGGTAACCAAAGTCTAGTAAACCATTCCATAAAGGCTTTTGGCGGTCTAGAAATTAATACAGATCAATCAGGTTACTCGATTCCATAATCTCGCAAGTCGTAGTACTGCTGTTCAGTGGAGTGAGTTGGTTATTTGTACAGCATAATAAAATTTGGTTTAAGTATTACTATTGAATTGTTGATTCTAATTTACGATAAGATTCACTATGGAAATTCTACTGGTGGATATTTTTTTTCCATTAAATTTCGCATTTGAACTTTTGTATAAAATAGCTTTACGTGGGAGAAATTTTTCTAAGTTCCATTGCATCTCTAATTTCTTTTAACATATTTCAATTGAGAACGTAATTAGAATTCCTATTAAGATTTATCCTAAAGAGAGGTGGGTCACCCTACACCTGAAATCCAGTTATTCATTGTAATTTACTATTTCAGAATACATGTGCAGTAGGGATTCTTATTTATTAAAACCCATAAGCGGATATGAATATTTTCCATAATTTTCAGATAGGTTTTTGTCTTTTCAGAAAGTGAAGGCTAAGCAGAACTTCAGGATGGGTACCTGTGGGGTTTACCTGTCCCAATTGAGGGCTATGCTCGGTAGGAATCTTCTGCTGAAGAAACGAGAAAAACGGAAGACTATTGCGGTACGTACATTTTTTAATTCACCCTTTTCATTCAAATTTATCAAATTCGTTCATTCATACATTGACGTTTGACATTCGATCGATATTACCCTGAGGTCTTTCGGGAATGTGAAGAACACAACGGACTAACGAGCGTACTTAATTCTATTTTTATGTCACATAGAGGTGGAATATATGTGTCGATCGATGACTTAACGATGAAACACAGAACCAAGCCTAGACAGAAAAAGGAAAGTGGACCCTGGAGGATATAGTTTACTTCCACTTATTAGATTTCGCTGCCATTTCGTTTCCTTCTTCTCTGTCAGTCTTATGAAGATAGTACTGAAACTCTCTTCATTTTAGGGATCTACTAAAACTTTCCATATTCCCCTTTTTTGAAAGACAAGAAGCTGTTCAGAGTGCTCTTCACTCCCGGTAATCGATAACCCACCGAATACACTCTACTAGTTTTATTGCTTCTATCTTGGTTTATAAATATTAGCTTTTGCATATAATTGAAAGGAGTCTGTACAGCATTGCTGCAATTTCCGATTGTCAATGAAATGATTGATGGTAAGTCAAATAAAAATGAGAACAGAATCGATTATAGATTTTTGTCTAATGAACAGAAAAACAAGGACTAGCTTGGAGACTCGGTGACTCGAAGAATCAGGCTGGACTTGCCAAGTGGGAAGCAGTACTGCCAATTTATCAGGGTGTTTTTCCTGCGTGTGCTGTGCCAATTAGGCCAAGGGATGACACTTCTGAAGAATGGTGTGGAAAAGCGGAAACCGGAATAGGATTAAAGCCTAAATTCAACAGTAAAATTTAACTTCCGGCTTTACTGAACACGGCCAGTTTTATTTCTTGCGGACGTTACGCTGCTTGCTCTCTCTGCCCTTGAAAATGGCTGGATCGATGCTATTAGCCAGCCCATCGTTCCGGAGATTCGTGGAGATCATCTTCGTCGTCTCCATACTATTAGGCAATAGGTGTGGTCCTACCAGAAAGTAAATCTGTTCGATCCAAGTTGGCAAATCAAGACCGGCGGCACAGTATTGCCACAAAGGGAGACCAAGATGTACCAACATCATTCTGAAATATTTAGTAAAGCTATCGGCCAAGTGGTACCAGGTATTCGTATCTTCCTGGTACAGCCATACACCAGGTTCCAGATCCGGTCGGATGTAGGACAGAAATACTTTACTTCCGGCGCATTGACCAACTTCAAATAACTTGCAACGAGGGCTCAGCGATGGAATCTGTGGATTCTCTTGAATCTTTGCTTCGGCGTCTGCTTGTTGCTCTTTGCTACCCACGAATCTCTTGAGTTCGCTGAGCGTGCCAATTTCCAGTCTTCCTACTGGGAATTCTTCACCTTATTCGGAAGACATAAAAGCGTTGAAACTCGTGAATTAAAGAAATCTCGACATTTTTTACCTACCCGATATCTCGAGAGACCAAGTTAACAAGAAGCCGTCTATGGACGAATAAAAATTTCTCATATCATCCGGAAGTACACAGCAGTGTCTTTGCTCCCAAGTAGACAAAGCATTCCTGTCGCAAGCACTTCTCTTTTCAATTTGAACGCTTTTCACGCAGGGACTGTTCTCCAGGATCTTTACGACACCTAGAGTAAGATTTTCATAAAAGGAATCCTCCGTGACAATATCCACAAAGAAGGACATTTTTCCACCAGAAATTTACGGCGCCGATATTCAAAGAAATTAAGTAATATATGAAACTATTTGGTTAGCAAATAAATATTCCTAAGTGAAACGTAAGCGACACGTTCACAAGCACAGCCGAAAAGCTACTACTGAAATTATCTAAAGCAGCTTTTGTTTATCACCATGGCAACAGCGCTGAATACCCCTACTCTACAGGGTATACTAAAATAAACGCAAATCGATATCACGAAACCTGAACTCACCTAGGTCAACTATCTCTCGTTACAGGAAATCTTCCTACCCCTATACACACTTGGAATTTTGATCGTGGTGAAAATCCTCATTCCAAATCCAAACTACCCAGCGATGACAACCCAACGACAAGATAGTGACATCTTTAAGTTGTTTAACAGCTCCAAGAATATAACAATAGCAGTGGTACCCAACTATACGGAAACCCAGGTAAGTGTCATTTAAATAGATCTCACTTGTTCCACAAGGTTGACGAAATTTTATCAAAGAAAAATAATTAAACGACGGTCAGGGTATTCACGACGCTCAACGACGCTCGTAGCGTCGCTGACAGGGAATGCATCCATTTAAATCAGATCTTAGCCCACATCCAGGTTATAAGAAGCCTTTATATATATGTATGTATTGTAACGTAATTCTTTTCCTTGACCCGACACCGATAGCAAAACATACGAGAACGAACTATCTTCAAGAACCAACCTACGTTACCTTCGGCCGTTCACCCGTCGTTCGTGCATTCGCAAGCCAGGCGGGCGCCAGCCAATTCTTTTTTCACCGGGAACTGACGAGCCGGTATGAACTGGGAGTTGGGGTGGAACAGGCCCAACTCCACCAAGAACGAGAGCTCTGACGGAACCTATCGGACGAGGCGATAGCTTAACGGATCCTGTCGATTTTGGGGACGCGTAAAATCGAGAAACGCAACCGTAGGTGCTGATCTTTGGGGTCGCGTAAAATCAGCAAACGCAACTGGATGCACGAACGGGAGCGAACGGTTACGGAAATGCACGGCCGCTCAGGCTGCTAGGTTTGAGGTAGAGAGGGTCGGAGTAAGAGTCCGGCAAATAGTGCGAGAGACAGAGAGCGACGAACCGAGAACGTATCAGA